AGAATTGCTCTAGAACAAAAGGAAAAGGAGAGAAGAAAGGAGGAAAGAAAGAGTTTGAACTTCAGAAGTTGGCAATTGGACAAGAAAGTCAACTTAAAAGGATGGAGGTGAAGCTAGAAGATCAGCTTAGTGAGGAGGATAGTGATGATGAGCAAACCCATTGTAGCCAAAGGTCTGGTGGGAGATAGTAGGAACTGCAGATGCTGGAGAATCTGAGATAACAAGGTGTAGAGCTGGATGAACACAGCAGGCCAAGCAGCATCAGAGGAGCAGGAAGGCGGACATTTCAGGCCTAGACCCTTCTTCAAAAATGGGCCTGGTGGGAATCTGTTTAAATACATCCAAACATTGCCTAGATTTGACGAGACGGATGTAGAAGCGTTTTTCATTTCACTTGTGAAAGTGGCTAAACAAATGAAGCGGCCAGTGACCATCTGGGCATCTCAGAAGGGACCCTGGTCAAACATACATTGAATTTGAAAGGATCAAAAAGTAATTTTGAAGGTGGATAAAAGGCATTAAAAATAGATCAAATATATGACGCTCTTGGGCTATTATTTTGGAGCAGTTCAAAAATTTGCTTCCTGAGGTAGTGAGAACTTATGTGGAAGAACAGAGTTAAAACTGCAAGACTAGCAGTTAAAATGGCTGATGATTGTAAGTTGGTTCATAAATCAAGTTTTGGCTTCCGCAATCAATTTCAATCCGTGAGGGATAGAAATTGGGGAAAGAGAAATTCTCAGGTGGTAAGGGTAAAGGAGATCTCATTGAATAAACAGCTCACCGTAGGGTAAAGTGGAAACTCATGAAGGGGAAAGAAAAGTTAAACACCTGAGCTTTTTTCACTGCAAATAGGCCACATGAAGTCACAGTATTGGTGGTTTAGAAAAAACACTGGGAAGACAGATGTAGGAAAACAGGATAAGCCAGTGAATTTTGTTAAAGTGGTAAAGGAAAGCACAGTGGAGGCTAAAAAGCTGCAACAGAATGTACAACCTGGTGCTGAGGTTGGTTGAGAAGGAAGTACCAGATCGTCTTAAACTACTTACTTGTGAAGGTAAGGTTTACTTGCATAGGCCAGGGCAGCAGGTGAAGAAGTTACAGTATTAAGAGATTTGGGGTCATGTCAATCTTTGATGCTAAGATGAGGAGATATGTAACTAATGCCAGGAAAAGTGCTATTATATGGAATTCATGGTGAGACAAGAAGTGCTCCATCATGTAATGAGGCTGGAGTATCCACTGAAATGTGAAGTGGTGGTAGGAGTACTGGAGAAAGTCACGGCTCCAGGAATACAACTTGTTCTTGCTAACGATACCACTGGATCACAGGTAGGAGTGTGCTGCCTACTGTGGTTGAAAAGCCAGTGGAAGATCAGATAACTGAGATAATGGAATAATGATATTGGAATAGTGTAGGTTAGATGGGCTTCAGATTGGTTTCACAGGTCGGCGCAACATCGAGGGCCGAAGGGCCTGTACTGCACTGTGATGTTCTACACGAAGTAGATCCTGGGATTTTTTTTTCCTGACTGTGTGATAACAAGGCCACAAAGCCACCAGTTGAAACAGGAGGAGAAATCACAGAATACAGATAAGGAAGCGGAAGTAGAATTATCGGAGACTATGTTTGATCAAATGGTTGAGAAAAAAAACAGGAACAGGTGGAGGACAAAGTGGATAATTTTAGAGAAATTAACTGAGCTACAACAGAAAGATGAAAAACTGATGCAATTGTATCGAAAAGCATACACAGAAGAAGAATCCAAGTGTATTCCCGAATGTTACTATCTTAAAAACGATGTCTTGATGAGGAAATGGAGACCATCACATACTCAGGCGGATGAGAAATGGGCAGAAATTCATCAAGTTGTATTTCCTGTGGGTTACCGAAAGGTGGTGTTGTGGGTAGCACATGAATTACCAAAACCTCAACTTCTCTAGTTGTCCAGCATTGACTACACCTAACAGCCTTGTCCTTCACCCTAACAGAAACATACCATCTCTGGACTCTCATTATCTCATTTTTGAAGGCTTCCCATTTTCCAGCTGTCCCTTTACCTGCGAACATCTGCCCTAATCAACTTTTGAAAGTTCTTGCCTAGTATTGTCAAAATTAGCCTTCCTCCAATTTAGAGCTTTAGTTTTTAAGATACAGTCTATCCTTCCTTTATAGCACTCACATAATCTTGCAGCTCTTATAATCTATGCAGTGACTGACAAAGTGTTCCATTTACCTTAATCACTTTATTAATCTGTCCTATGGCCTCAGGGATCAACCAACAAGCACTGCAAGATTTTTTTGAGCTTCCTGGTGTGTTGTCATTCTTTGAGTACTCCCTTGTCTTTTTACTTCTTCACATTTATCATGGTTAAGTTCTATCTGCCACTGATCTGCCCATCTGACCAACCTATCAACCACCTGGTCAATCTTCATGTCATCCACGAACTTATTAAAACAGTGGCTCAGTAGTTAGCACTGCTGCTTCACAACACCAGGGACCCGGGTTCAATTCCAGCCTCGGGCAACTAACTGTGTGGAGTTTGCGCGTTCTGCATGTACTTCCACCAGGTACTCCAGTTTCCTCCCACAGTCCAAAGATATGCAGGCTAGGTGGATTGGTCATGGTAAATTGCCCCATTGTGTCCAGGAAAGTGAAGGTTTGGTGGATTAGCCATGGAAAATGCAGGTTTGAAGTGATAGAGAAGGGGGGTGAATGGGTGTGGACTTGTTGGGCCAAATGGCCTGTTTCTACACTGTAGGCATTCTATGCATTTTTATGTCTACTAGTTTAGATACTGTCAAGATGTTGGTCCAATAACAATGAAGAAATGGTAAAATATTTCCAGGTCAGGATAGCATGGAGCTTAGAGGGGTATTTGTAGGTGGTGCTGTAGTCATATTGACTACCTTCTCCTGCCTCTTAATATTCTTCAGTCTATCCCATGTTGCCACCTCTATCTTATTTGTTGTGAAACTTCAGTAATTATCTCACATTTATCTTTGAGATAAACATCAATTATTTAAAAAAGAACAAATGAAGGGAAGAACATTCACTGAATAAGCTGTTTTGGAAGAAGGAGTCTCAGAATGGGTGACAAGTTTGGAAGTCAGATTGATTATATTAAAGAGTGAAGCAAGATTAAGGACACGAGCCAGATGCAGCCTAGATTGAAGAGGTCTGAGACAGTTGTGGACATGGAGATCAGTACAGTCTGTTCAATGTTAAAGGATCAAAAGGGAATACATCAGCTCCTGTAAATCAAACATCAAAATGACAAAAAAAAAAATCATGTTGCAAATGTTGGAGTTTTTTTTCAAAATGAGAGTTTGCAGAATCTTAAAACTTCCACAACATAAATGGAAGGTTGCATAAATTTCAGCAAAACAAAACTAGGCAAACTTTTAGTAAAGAGTATCATGTCTCTAATAAACAGCCTGGTTCTGATTGCACAGTTAAAAAGAAACAGTAATTCAGTCTGCAGATATAAGCAATTTGGCCCAGTAAGCTGTCAGGTTAAATTCCTAACCTTGCTGAGTTAGCTAATCTGAGCCTCTATGGAAATACGGATGCTATAATTGGCTTTAGGAAAGTGGGAAATTATTTAGCTCTTGATAGATGTCCAGGAACACCTTTTGAAAAGTATTCTTTGTGTAACATGCCCGAGCAAATATCCAGGTCAAATAGCCTACTAAAGCCGACGTTCAGACTCTCAAGCAAAATGGCAACTTCGTTAAGATAGTGGAGGATGTTCATTAAATGATAATTCAGAGAGAAAGCTGCATGGGGGAAATAAAACACAAAAATACAGCTGCTAGTTATGAACAGTAGTGTGGGGATCCAGCATGCCTCAAATTTGCACCGGTAAATAAATAACTCCTTAAAAAATAGTAATTGGACAAGTTTTTATAAGTCCTGTTCTAATTCTTTATGAAGAATGAGCTCCTTTTCAATACTTCAATCCATGAAGAAAGCAGGGTGCCCTTCAAAAACAACAGCTGCACGACAGAGCAACTCCACAGCTTAACAGCTTCTCCTTTTTGATAGGTTAGAGATTAATGAATTCAGGAGGAGAAAGTAGCAGCTGGAATGGAATGGTGACAGTTCATGTATTTTAAACTACAGATAGTCGGCACCTGTTACCGGTTGAAAGCAGTAACATTGGCAGAGATCATATAAGTTCAGCACAGATCAGTGATGGGGCAAACTGAGGCAGGTATCATGAAGGGTGCATTTCTTCATAATCACCACATGCTGGGAATAAAACCTAGTTTCTCAACATGGCTTGAAGAGAATTGGCATGACGTGGGGGAGGTAACGGCCTTGTGGAATTATTGCTGGACTATTAATCCAGAGACCCAGATAATGTTCTGCAGACCTGGGTTCAAACCCTGCCACAGCAGATGGTGAAATTTAAATTCAACTTTAAAAAAAACTAGAATTAAGAGTTTAATGATGATCACGAATCCATTGTCGATCGTCAGGAAAAGAAACCCAACAGGTTCACTAATGTCCTTTAGGGAAGGAAACTGCCATCCTTACCTGGTCTGGTCTACATGACTCCAGACCCACAGCAATGTGATTGACTCCTAACTGCCCTCTGGGCAATAAATGTTAGCCTAGCCAGTGATGCCCACATCCCATTAATGAATGAAAAAAATTCCAAGTTTACCCTAAATTTGCATGTGGTGTCAATGTTAAAATGGGTTTAAACAGTGGTTGAGATTCTGTGGTCTGTGGAAGTTTTAAAACTGTTAGTATTAAATTATATGTTTAGAAACTGAACATTAGCACCTGCACTTCCTAAACCCATAAATCTTAACTGTGGAGAAGCCTTGCATAAGAGCAGTACATTTGTACTAGTCATGCAGTGTAAAGAAAGCACTGCCTCAAGGGAATAACGATTACAAATACAATTCTTCATGTAAAATAGAAGATAATGCTGCTAAAATTATGAATTTGTGCTTGGTTTTCCAAGAGAAGTAAATACAAAAAAAATTAATAAGTAAAGTTTTATTATATGAATCCACTTTAAGTTATAAAGACAACTTTTGAATGAAAGGCACAGTGAATCAAACAATTATGATAAAACATAGAAACTAAATGAGAACATACAAAATAAAGTGAAGACAGCATTTTCCAGCATTTACAAACCTACAAAATCCAAATCTGGAGTCAACTGTGTCATTACTAATAAGTTGTTAAGTACACAATAAAATCTACATTTGTACCGTTAAACAGATCATTATCTGATTACTTGAGTGTTTGACGATGTTTAGGAAATAAGAGAGAAACAAACACTATTGCTTTCTACTATACTTCATGGTGATACTGCAGCATTCAGTTCCCTGCAATGAAGCCAACTCAAGCTAGTTTTAGAATGAAAAGCATCAGCGTGTTTTAAAATGGAGATTAAAGTCACAAAATTACTTTATGGGGAATAGTTTAACATTTATCCAGATTGAACCACAGGCATGGAAGTAGCTGGTAATGGTGTTACAGCTGCACCTCAGCTAATCAGTAGCAAGAACAGATTTTCCACTCCATTTCCACACAAACTATGAGGCTTTTTGTTTAACGTGCCAAACACACACAACTGATTAAATTGGAAAAAAATTAATACAGGTTAGTTGAACAAATAAAAAAATCATCACCCTAACCAAATTTTAAATTACGATACTGTACCAATATGTAAGCTGCAGCAGAAAGCAAGTGCCATCTGTGTGAGCCCAGTAAATCAATAAAAAACAATACCAGTCAAGCACATGGCAAATGCAAACTTGTAACCAAAAACCTTATTCCTGTTTTAGGTAACGCATTTTTAATATATAAATAGCCACTGAAATCCTTGGCACCGTATTTTCACTGCTTTTATGCAATAAATAAGTATCTTCTACAAGGGAAGGGTAGTTTTGGGACAATTCTTATTCTTTGGCATGTGCTCAAATACTAGCGTCTGTCTCCCTTACTCCTTGTGGAAAGAAAGCTCCCCTAATTTTATTTACAGACTAGCCACATTGAATTTTTTTTTGAACTAACTCAAAGATGTTTAAAACATTTTTTTTGATGCTGCTGCTTCAAAAGAAATTAACCTCAAGTCACTATTTCATGCTCACAGGCTTCTTGTGCAATAATTACAAATAATGGGAATTTCCTCTTCGAATCTTTTGCAGACATGAAATTATTGCTTAAATGGTGATGAGGGAATGCTTTAAGGTTTTGGACAGTATACCCCAACGCCATATTTTCTCAGTGCTTTAGTTTACACATAAATTAGAAATATGTCCACATATTTGAAAAGGAGTATGGGCAAACTCGTATCAAAACTTTGCACATACATTTTGATGGCAGTAAGTTTTTTTTAATACAAACATTTTTAATGCTTTCCTTATTCAAAATATAGACAGGATCAAGACAACATCAGTAGGTTAAAGCCTTTAAACAGGCTTTCAAATGAAGCAAGGCTTCCTCAGTAAAGGCATCAGCCTCACAAATTGTGACAGTAATGCTGTGTTATGTCAATTGCCCTTTGACACATGTGCAATCATTAAACCTGTCAGGGTCTATTATCGCCAGTGACCTGCTAGTCTTCATCTGAACTACTCTGCAGGCAAGCAGAGAACAAGTCAATAATAGCTCAATGCTCTAATCAGATAATCAGTCCTACACACTGGTTTGCAGATGTCCATTGTTGTTCCAAGCATGAATTATAACACGACGTAGTGCCATTTCTGCAAGGTATCCTTCAATACACTTTTACATTCTACATAGGAACAACTCTCATGTTCAATTCAAATCTCAAATCTACAGCAGTGTGAAAAACAACATACTCATGTTGAGCTACCTTACATTATTGCTCAGCTTTGCAAGGTAGTCTCGCAATTCTCTTGCTGCCTGGAATCGACCGTATTGTTTCTTTGGGTGTGCACATTCTTCGAGCAAGGCCTCCAGTCTGCCAGCTCTAACAATTTCTACAGGAGGGCTGTGCAGGAGCCCGCCAGTAGTGCCACGCCACGTGGCATATTTAGAGAGCAGGTTCTGACAAATGGCATAGTAGTTATGGTCAACTGTCACACGCGAACACAAAACCTCCTTGGAAAATGACAGGCAGGCTTCTTTTCCACAATCGTCAAATGTGCTTTCGTACCATACATCCCAGTTTTGAGGCTTATCTGCAAGGAACAAAATTGAATAAATTGGATTACAAAAAGGTTGAAAATTTAGTGTTTATTCTAATTTTAGTATTTCCATTATGACTTTAGTTAAAGCCATTGAGCTAACGGTAACAACCGAAAATTAGAACACAATTTATTTTGTACAAAAAGGAAGAAAACAAAGTATGCATAACATTTAAAGTGATAGCTCTATCATCCGCAATAGTGGAGGAGATTCGCTAGCATTTAGTAAGAAGCTGGCGATAGGATTTCATGAATATTTAGTTTGGTATAGTAAAATTTTAGCCTTTGTGTCATTTCAGATTATCTAATTGATTCGCTAAGAAGTACATTTTAATTAGTCTATCTCAAATGCATTCATTTTAAAATGGGATGCAATTAAAATAGTACATATTGGCAACCTGGTTGCTGAGAGCTTTCCCACCGTTGAAGGCATCATGGGGTACAGGGAGAAACAGGAATGTGACATTGACGTTGAGGATCAGCCATGATCATAGTGAATAGTGGAACAGGTTCGACTCCCGCTACTAGCTTCTACCTGAAACCTTCACTCCATTCCACTTGCTTCTTGACTCAAAGCCACATTTCAGAACTGCGTGGATCGTAAATTCTAGCATCAAACATCACATAATAATTGCTTACTCTGTTGGATCATGAACTTGGAGTGAGTGAAAAATCAATTAAGGACACTCAGTGGCCTTTTAGCTAGTTTATGCCAAAAAAAAAAGCTCCAACCCCACATAAATTACTGTGGACATTCACCAGACTGTGTAATGGTGCATTAACAATCATAGTTCCATTGGAATACACTTAAGTATCAAGGTTGTCAGGTTAAGTGAGATCATAAATTACAAGTTATGATGCACCAGGAGTTTCAGTTATGGGAACCAGAATAAACAGGTCATTAGTTCAATCTCAGATGTCCTTATCCTCTAAGGAAAAGGAAAAACAGAAATTTACATTGGTGAACATACAGGTGCTAGGATCATACTTTAGAAACAATGCAGAAATTGCTGGGAAAATTCAGCAGGTCTTGCAGTATTTGTGAAGAGAAAACAGAATTAATGTTTTGGGTCCAGAAACCCTTCTTCAGAACTGCTGCGTTTTCCCAGCAATTTCTATTTCTATTTTTATTTCTTATTTCTAGCATTTGCAGTTCTTTGGTTTTCTCCCATATTTTGGAAATGTCATTTCAAACAACATTAGTTCCAGTCTCAATATCACTGGAACGTAGTAGTGGTGACTGAAATGTAACAACTTGGACGAAGGGACACAGTTTTGTAGCCAAGTTTGCTGATAGGCAGGGAAAGCACGCTGTGATAAGGATACAAAGAGCTTGCTAGGGTATGTTGACTAAGTTAGTGAGCAAAAATTGGCAGATGCGACTATAATGTGGAAAAACATGAAATTGTCCACTTTGGTAGGAACAACAAAAATGCAGCTTATTATTTAAAATTGAGGGGGTGCAGAATAGAGGAATCTGGGTGTCCCTGTACATGGATAGTGTCATAGAGATGTACAGCATGGAAACAGACCCTTCAGTCCATGCAACCAGATATCCTAAATAAATCTAGTCCCATTTGCCAGCATTTGGCCCATATCCCTCTAAACCCTTCCTATTCATGTACCATCCAGGTGTCCTTAAATGTTGTAATTGTACCAGTCCCCACCACTCCCTCCGGCAGCTCACTCCATACACCGCACCACCCTCTGAGTGAAAAGGTTGTCCCTTAGGTCCCTTTTAAATCTTTCCCCTCTCATCTTAATAATATGCCCTCTACTTTTGGGCTTCCTCACCTCAGGGAAAAGACTTGTCTATTCACCCTATCCATGCCCCCTAAGATGGTGGTCACTCCTCAGCCTCCGACGCTCCAGGGAAACTAGCCCCAGTGTATTCAGCCTCTACCCACAGCTCAAACCCTCCAACCCGGGCAACATCCTTGTAAAGACCAAAAGAATGGCAGATGCTGTAAATCAGGAACAAAAACAGAAGTAGCTGGAAAAGCTCAGCAGGTCTGGCAGCATCTG